AATAGCTCCTTCATTTGATTAATTCTCAGTCCTGCCGTCGGTCTTTAGGAGCTGCCACACAGACTTTGTGAATGGATTGGAGGAGATGGAGCAGAGATTCCCCCTGAAAGCTGCTCCAGTTTTCATTAATACAAATCCCTGCAGGGTGAACTCCCAGCCCGGAGCTCATGCGTGAAAACAGCAATGTTTATAATAATAATAATAAATAACGGGGCAGGCTCTAGAAACCGTGAAGTGCCTCTGTGTGTGTGTGGATGTGTGAGGGAAGGTCCCAAAACGCATGTGACAGCAATAACTGAGGCTTTTTTCAGAGCAGGAGTGCTTGGAATAATTGAATCTCTGCCTCGTTACATACCGTCCAATTTAGACCCTCATTATGCATTTGGCAAGTACTTGGCATAACAAATCAATTTGAAATGGCACATGAGACTCAAGTAATTCAAAATGAAACTCCAAATCAAGATTACAAGGCAAGACTAAACCTCCTTAACTCAAATTATTGGGATGGAGAGGAAGCCGGTGATGAAGAGGAGTGGAATAGGCTGGAGGAAGCCTCTGCCACCACCTTCCATGTAGCCTTAGGTCAGGAATTTTAATCTCTTGGGGTCTGGACCCTTGTACTGGGATTTCACGTGTGTTGTTTCTATTTCAGAGAGTATTTCATTCTCCTTTTCCCAGTGAGGGGAGAAGGTCTAGTCTGTGGTCACTGCTGGGTGTTTCTGGCTCAATCATGTGTTCATCTCACTTTCTGCTCAAGAAATAGCCCCAAATCTACCCAGTTCTTCTCCTGAATTTACCTCCATAAAAACCCCTTTGCCACCACGGCATCCCTCTCTGCTGATCCCAAATACTTCCCCAAATACCTCCCAAAGATCACAGTTCCTGGGCTTCACACAGCAAGATGTGGGAAGAGGCATTGAGAGGTACCCACAACAGGATTGGGGTGGAAACAAAACATGGAAAACCAGAAAGGCTTCATGAACATCCCAACACAGTCCTGTGTCACAAATCCAGCAAAATGGACGTGGATGTTGTCCAAGAGGCTTTGAGCAAGGCAGAACGTGGCACAAGTTGAGCTCAAGTCCAGCTTTACTTACCCAAAGCAGCTGAGGAAAGTACCAGCAAGTTCTCAGAGCATCTGTCTGGTCAGGCTTTACCTCTATGCATTTTAGGAACTATCCAGCTGGGATTGAAAATGCCTTCCTCCTCTTCTTATTTAAATATAGGTTTTCAGGCTAACACAAAAAAGAAAAATAAAAAAAAAAAGAAAATTAAAAAGAGAAAGACAAAGCTTTGCTCAACTAGAGCTGAATAATTAGGGATGGGTAATAGGATGTACTGTGGGGAAGCTCAGAAGAGACTCTTGCCAGGATGAAGACTCTGGCTAATAAAACCTACAGAACAGTTCAGCTGTGGTTTCTGGGACACTGTTGGCTCAAGTTTACAGCCTCTTTGTCTTCTGAGTCCCCAAACATGGGTAACAGATGAGTCTCCAGGGATTCTGCTGGGATGGGACCACCCATTTCCTCCTGATCTTTGAAGAGATCCCAAATAAACAGAATCCCAGACTGGTTTGGGTTGGAAGGGACCTTAAAGCTCATCTTGTTCTACTCCCTGCCATGGGCAGTGACACCTTGCACTAGACCAGGTTGCTCCAAGCCCCATCCAACCTGGCCTTGAAATACACAGCAAAACCAACCTGACCCTCCCTGGCACTGCTTGAGGCCGTTTCCTCTCGTCCTGTCCCTTGTTCCCTGGGAGCAGAGCCCGACCCCCCCCAGCTCCCCCCTCCTGTCAGGGAGTTGGAGAGAGAAAGAAGGTTCCCCCTGAATCTCCTTTTCTCCAGGCTGAGCCCCCCCAGCTCCCTCAGTTCTCCTGCTCCTCCAGACCCTTCCCCAGCTCCCTTCCCTTCCCAGGACACATTCCAGCCCCTCAATGCCTTTCTTGTCAGCAGGGGCCCAAAACTGACCCCAGGATTTGAGGTGTGACCCCACCAGTGCCCAGCACAGGGAACAGACACTGCCCTGCTCCTGCTGGACACACCATGGCTGGGACAATCCAGGTGCCATTGGCCCCTTGCCCACCTGAGCACACTGTGCTCACAGTCAGCCGCTGT